AATCCACATCTCTGTCCAGACCCACCATTGCATGGCTCGGCTCTGCCTCAGGGGTTGGCAAGTAACCTAGTGCCTGTTCTCATAAATAAAGTTTTATTGGAACATAGCTAGGGTCAATCCTTAATGAACTGTCCTTTGGCTGCTTTCATGCTACGACAGTACAACTGCTTAGTGCAACAAAGCCCACAACACCAGTAAAGTGGTCCTGCCTGCCTTGTAACACACCCCACAGGGCTTCCATGCTTTGCTCCAGCCACACTAGGCTTAGAGCCTTTGCGTGCGGTCCCGCTCCTGAAATTCTCTACCTGTGATCTTCTATCTGGCCCACACTTACTAACCCTTCAAGTTTCAGCTTAAAAGATACTTCCTCAGAGCGGCCTTCATTGACCTCCACTCTACCACAGAAAACGTCCTCGAATAAGCAATGACCTATGATGTCATTACTCTTTCGTATTTTTTTTTGCCTTGTCCCTCAAGCAATCAAGCAGTAGGTACTGATAAAGTGGCTACCTAGGATTACAGACATTGTTGGTGGGAGAAGAAAACTTTCCCTAGGTAAAAAACAACTTTCATGAGAATCAAATCCACACTTGGTCTCATTAAATCTATTTTTATAAGCTGATGAATTAACCATTTAAGGACTATTCTTTTAATATTACTCTTCTTCCAGTTTCAAATTTATACACGCTATTCCCTAGGGAAAATCTGTAAAAGACTATAAATGAGAACTAACTGTCTATCCCGTCCACTTTAGAAAAGGGACACACATGTCTGTGTCCCCTGGAAAGGAAGGAGCAAGGGCCTCTCCCGCCACTCTCCACCCTTTCCTGCATGGGAGTGTGCGCAGAGTAGGAAATGCAGAGGTGCACCACCTCTTCAGGGCTTTCTGCTCTTTTAGAGGGCCCTGTTCTAAGGTCCTCACCCTCCTTTTCCCCAGGGAAGACCTGTGCTGGGCCACTGAGTGAGTGATTCGGGAAGGGGAGGCAGGAGTGTGTGCTCCATGCACGACGTGCATCCCAGAAGCTCCAGAGTGGACATGCACATCTGCCGCATCCCCCAATGCAGCTTCAGCTGGGAAAAAAGTTCATCTCCTGATTGGTATCTGTCTAGCCCTGTGTTGTTAACTATGCTCCATTAAGCTCCATTCTATAATCCTATATCCCAGTTAAAATTCCTATTAACAGTTCTTTCCAGTCATTTCTACAAATCTTTTAAAATGAATTTTAGTGTAGAAAACAAGAAAAAAATCCCAGAGATTTAAACATTAAAAAGTGAAAAATTACACTCTACTTTCACACAATAGGGAATCAATATTGTCTTCTGGGATAACAATTAGCCACCTCTTTCATATTACGTTTTTTCTAATACTAGTAAAAGTAATAAAGGACCTAGTCCTAAAATTGCTTTAAATCCTGAAGCTAACCCCTGCAGACTCCTAAATCATGTTAGGCTAATGGAAATAACTGGGCTATGTTGATACACCTACTGTATCTTATAACAAATGACAAATACTTTTGGCAAAAATTCCAAAGTCATTTCATTTTTATAACCTAACTACTTTCTCCTGAAGATGTAGAGAGAAGATGCTTCCCTGTATGTGAGCAAATGCAGAGAGGACCCAGGACAGCTCGGGGGCTTCGAGCCCACAGGAGAGGAGAGACTAGCAGAGGCTGGGAGTGGAAGAGGGAACAAGTGCGTGCAAACAGAAACAAGAAGCAAGGACAGCTGTGGCAGGGCATGGAGACTGCAGGCAGCAGAGGCTGGGTGGAAGCAGCTCATGCAGCACGTTCACTGGACTCGGGGCTGGCAGCCACTGCGGCTCTGGGGGGCTGCAGTGAGAAGCTACCCTCTGCTGACCAGCCACGCTCATCCACACATCTGCATTCCTGCCGGGGGCCTGGGCTAAGGCACCTTCCACCACTCTGGCTCCTATTTTTACTCCTTCCCCTGTGGCCCATAAACAGGCAGAGCCTTCTGTTTGGGGCTTCCGTAGTGTGAGGCTTCCCCCACCTGCTCATCATCTGACTCTCACCTCTTCCTCTGGCCTGCAGCCTGCACAGCCTCGGGAACTGAATAAAGGCTTGATTGTGACTTTTAGTTTGGCTCGTTGTTGTAACTGCCTACCTGACACCTGGCAACCCGACAAGGACAGAGGCCAACATTTCAAGGCCAGAGGACATCCAGGTGAGGGCAAGGAGGGCCCAGGTGGACCCCCAGACCCACTCCTAACCTCCCTGCAGTAAGGTAACACTGGTTCCACGACGCGACATCAGAGAGAATAGCAACAACTGAATGCTTACCTACATCAGACTCGAATCTAAAGAAGATAAGTAGCTTTGTGAGGAAAGAGATTTTTTTTTTTAAACTGGAAAAGATGGAGACTCTGATAATTGTAGTCCCCCCCACACACTCCTCAAATCTCAAGCAAGATGAGTATTTGAAACAAGATGATATACATAAAAGAAATGACGAAGGTTAAATTTTCCCTGTATATTTAAGCATAGTGAGAGAATTCTTGATCCTAGTAAATATTTCCCTGAAAACAGGCACTGATTCAGTTGGTAAGCAGAAGAAAATCAGTCATGGCCGATACTTCCCCTTTCACATCTCCAAATGCTCTGGGTTGTGGGTCTGGAAGCATGGCCCATGAGCACGGTCCTTATCAGGGGTCGGCAGATTCTGGACTGGGGGGTAGCTGAGAGGCTGTGGACCCGCCCTCTTCACACAGGTGAGCCCGTGGGACTCGGTGCTTCACAGACGTAACACCTTCGACCCATACTCTAAAAGGTCTCCAGCCCTTCAACTGACTACTGAACAGATGCCCACCTTTAGTCCCAGGTTCTTTTAACTCATCCTCAGGCCACGCCCAGATAAAGCTTCCTAAAACGCCGATTTCGTCATGTTCCTCTTTTGTTCCAAACTCTTCATTTCCCTAGGGTGCCTCAGTCTTGAGACTTACCAAGAGTTTTAGAACCAATTCAGCGCCGCCCTCCCTCACTCAGCTCCCCCCATCTCACAGGGCTCGTCTGCTCTGTCCCTGCTTGCTTTCGTTCCCACCTACACAGACCTCCCTCATCACGTGCACCCCAGGGGCTAGCTGGAGCCCACCTCTTCCACAAGGTCTTCTACAACTATCTCCTGAGATCACTTCTCTGAAATATCCAAATGTAAAGTTTATGATACTTACACTGGATCTTGATCATATAGTGTCTCACAGGCATTTGTAGAAATTTTCCTCATAGCTAACTCAGTGAGTGTTTTTCTAACACAGTTGGTAATTTATTATGTTAAGTAAATTAATTTCCAGGATTGAAGATGTATAATAGCAAATCAAATACTCTGTCTTTTAGAAAGCTGTTCTTTATTTTTTTTTTCCAACAATTATTTTTTGCCCAGCATATGCCAGGGACTGTGTTAGGGAGTGGAGATAATACAGAGAAGATGCAACACAGAGTCAGTCTAACAGTGAGAAAGATAAAAAAAAAAAAACTCCCCATGATGTAATTACAGTTGTGGGAAGTGCTCAAAAGAAAGTACAGAGGGACCAGCCCTAACTCAGGGGACAATGAAGAGAAGGTTGACCTGCCGGGGAAGTCCTCAGAAAGTAGGACATTTGAGCCTTGCTTTAAAAAGCAGCATGAGAGGCAAAGATTCCAAATGGAGGCAACAGGACATGCAGAAACCCCAAGCCAGGAAGTGCCCACTGCTTACTGGACCACATGAGCTCACAGTCACGCCCTCAGGCAAAAGCATGCCCTCCCAGGCTGTCCTCACGCTTTTGCATTTGTCCAGAGCAACGCAGCCCTCACAGCCTTCCTCAAGACCCTCACCTCAAACAGCCCCTTTACAAGTTAGGGGGTTGAGGGGAAAAAGACTTTAGCACAACTTTTTAAAAACCACGGGTCCATAGGCAATGGGAATGGCAGGGTTTCAAATGACAGCCAGCTTATTTCCACATATACTCAGGATATATATTTCTGATATAGAGAAAAACAAATTTTAAGCTAAAATTTTTGGCTATTATCGATTTAAACATATTACTCAAAATACATTAACAGTGTGCAATTCAGAAGGCACTTCTATCATATTGCTATATAGTACTTGCAAGCTGTTAGTACATTCCAAAGATATATGGACACACAAAAACTTTAGTTGCTAAAGTATTACTTTAAGCAAAATATTAGCAAAGCTGATTAAAATGTTATTGAATATTAGCTAAAAAAAAAATCACATTTGTTCCACTGAAAATATCTGAATGTGATTCAAAGATAAAATTTACTATAAGCAAACATAAATGAGTATCCACATGGTAGAAAAGGCTTATGGCTAAGTAACTCCAAGAATCACAATATTAATTTCTTCTAACTGAAAGAACCGTGTGGTTATAAATATCCCTCCATGCACTAAAGGGTGAAGGGACTCAAATCCTAAGAGTTCTGGGAAGTTGGCCCAGCAGTCAATACCTGTCAGAACCATACACAGCCTTGGTTAAAAATGCAATTTCCTAAGCCCCACTCCACACCTACTGGAAGAGGACACCTGGAGTTTAGAATCGAAAATCTGCTTGTATAAAAAGGTCCCCCATGAGTCTCTCATGCACTGAAATTTGGTAAGGGTGTCTAATGTCCCACTGTGATGAGGTGACAGACCTGTGCCGTTTCTACTAAGCAGTTTTCTATTGTGCCAATGCTTTCTCCCCATTGTGCTAATCAAGTCTTGACTTGGCCTTTAAGTCATCTCCTTCTGCGTAGCATAAGCGTCATCTCAAGGCATCACTCACTAGCTACATTTTCAGAGCAGGAGGTCATCCCTCACTAATTGAGCCCACTGAGCACAGTGGCTCCATTCAGTGCACACCATTCCTCTCCCCCACAGGACTGGAACTGAGCACACACTTTACGCACAGGCGGTAAAGCGCTCCCATGGAATCCGCTCTGACCCACCCGACTCGGCGTTAGAGAGTGCAGAGGACGACTCTCACAGGACTGATTCTGCCCTACCTTTGCGGCCACAATGCTGAGGCCCATTCCATTCTGCTTCTTTAGGGTCACAGTGATTATTTCAGGTTCTTTCCTCAGAGGATGAGCCTAAAGGATGAAAACAAAGGTTTATTTTATGACTGAAATGGAAGTGCTTCTGTATGGCAAGACAAATCATGGTCTGGTCAATCATATTCACTGTAGTAAATGGGAAAAGAAAACAGAAGGGTAAGATAGGAAAGTGTAAAAAAAAAATCAGTTAATACAAATACTCTTCATGCATTGATTTGGTAAACTTAATACTGATATTCTTGACTAAAGTCTTGAAAATGAATTTAGCCATAAAGGCTATTGAAGTGTTATTTTAAGAACTTAATTTATAAATCAAAACTAAACTTCCATTACCATCAGGTTAGAAAACTTGATTCATAAAGACAAAATTCAATTTTTACTTTATTACCTTTCAAAATAAATTACCAGGCTTTTTTAAAAAGAAAGAAATTTAAATTTAACTGGCTATAGGAGGATAGCAAACACAGTGACAACAAAGATGACCTAACGTATTGTCTCCAGGGAAAATCCAACAGTCATTTTATCTTAAACAGCAAAAATAAAGCAGTTTCAGGGTTCACACATGAGTTTTTAAAGTACTCTACTATTAAGTAAAGGCCACTCGGTCGGGTAATCAACCTGAAGTGACTAAATTACAGCCCAATACGGCAGGCCAGTTCTTGAATAGATTCATAAAAGAATGACAATGAAATTATCCATTGAAGTTACATATCATATACATGTCATAACTCATACTACAGAGTAAACAAAATTAAAGAAAATTAACAGTGTATACATACTAAGGGAGAACTTAACTAATTAAATACATAAGCATGAAGGCACATTGCCAAAAAGTGGAAATTACGCCCATGGCTTTTTAATTAAAAGGAAAATAAACAAGGCATGTGAAAGAATATTTTGAGGGAAATAAATAAAATTAGGTGACATTAGAATTTTTTTAAAAAAATCAAGACCTGAAAGTGGAAGAATCTGGGAATAAAATAGAAAGATGAAGACTCAGTGAACCTAAGAAGTAAACTTTTTTTTTTTTTTTTTAATAACATCTGGTAATTAGAAATTGCTGCTGTTACTTGGGGTATGACAAACTGCAGCTTTCAATGATAAGTATTAGAGGAACGTTAACTTTATTAGTAGCTAAAAGTGATCATGTATTTGGTGTAACAAAGAGATCAATTAACTCAATTTTAGGATACAGCTATGATGAACTTACATGTGCAGCTAAGTATGCTAGGAAGCCAAAATAAATCATTTTGAACTTAATATACAAAAAAGCATTCTTTTTTGTTTAAAACTCTCTGCATGAAGCAAAGTAGAATTTTCCTTAAAATGTAGGAAGCTAGAAAATAGTAGGTTTACAATTCTTTCAAAAAGATGCAAAATATTAATAAATGACTTCATATATATTTAAGACAAGGCAGAGCTAACTATAAAATAAAATATTTTTGCCAAAGAAAAATATTTTTCTTATAAAATCTGTTAAAGCTTCCCTATTAATATGTTTCTAAAACACGTATTAACATTAAGGCTGGTATAACTGTTAGCGTAAGTATTTTTTATTTTTAAAAATACCGTTTATAGACAAAACTGTATAAACATGGTATGGGGGGGGAATACACATACAAATCAATACTCAAGATTTTTTGAATAAAATCAACATTTAAAAGTGATTTAAAAATTTTCCCATAACAAGAATGTCCAGTGTAAGCAAAGAACAAGACCGCATCACGTCTTCGAGTCCTAAGCAACTCATTTCATTTTACAGTCCATCTAGCAACCTCAAAATACTTGCCAGTTCTGTGTTCTCACGCATGAGGTGACTCTCATAATCCGCACCTTCAAAATATATTGTCCAAGTACCAGGTGAACGTGTGTGAGGAATTAACCTGCAAAATCCTAGGAAGAAAACAAGCAAATTATAAAACTGAAAAAGCTCACCACATCAAGACACATGATCTTCAGTAAAAGAAGCAAGATAAATCACAGACTTTTTAATATCTAATGGCAATATTTTTCTTACTCTATGCCTTTATTCCCTCCGAAAACTGAATTATCAGATATTTAAAATTATATATTTGTTATGGTCCAACATAATTTCAGCACCAAGCAGACAAGTGAAATTGGTCTCCTTCTCCTCTGTGTTCCAAAAGAACTTTTTTCTTACATCTATAAAAATTTATTAAATTGACTTGTAATTATTACTACCCTGCAGAACTGTTTACTACATTAAGAGATCCTCAGTAACATTCAGAATATCTATTCAGCAAAGGGAAAGGACAGGGGAATCAGAGAATGACACTACATGGAAAGTCTAACTACCACATCACACACAGGACATCTAGATATTATTTGACTTGTACAGCAATTCTTAGGTTAGATGGCCTCTTCTCATTACACTTTATCTAAATTTTCTTATAGGTTCATACTCATTTAAATACCTTACAAATGAATTTTAGAATCTTTTTATAATGTTTTAAAGAATATCTCTGATATCTTCATCAGGGCAAATGACATCTTCATAAGACTAAGCCTTTCAATTTAAAATATGTTATTCTTCATTTACTCAAGTCCTATTTTGTGCTCCTCCGTATTTCCTGACCAATCATATTACGTAGACCTTGCACAATTCTTGTTAAGTTTTCTTTAAAGCTGTCATCTCCTTACTACTAGCAGCTAGCATTTATCAAGAGCATACTGAGTGCCAGACACTGTGCAGCTTTTCATTAATACACAGTCCTAACTAATCCTGATGACTTGGGTACTGGCTAGGAGTCCGAGCTGGCATTAGCTAGTGGTCTCATCCATCCTAGTGTTTCATCAGGGAGGATAATTTTGACTATTATTTTGGGACACTTATGAGGTGGTTTGTGATAGACGGAAAAAGAGACGTCAAAAACATATTCACTTAAAATAATAATATAAAGTAGTTTTACTTAGTTTTACTTTTAAAAAAAAATCACTGTTATAATAGTTTCATTAAAATATAATCTATAGGGCCGGCCCGGTGGCGCACTGGATAGTGCGCCGCTTGGGAAGCGTGGCGGCGCTCCCACCCGAGGGTTCGGATCCCACATACAGACCGGTTCCCGCTCACTGGCTGAGCGAGGCGCGGGAGCAACACCGAGGGTTGCGATCCCGTTGCCGGTCCCCAGTCCGGTACGGGGGCAACACTGAGGGTTGCGATCCGTTGCCGGACACGGAAAAAGACAAAAAGACAAAAAATAAATAAATAAATAAATAAATAAAATAAAATAAAATATAATCTATAATTTGCTCGTCTTTCCCATGTTTTAGGAAATCACAAATCTCTCATAATTTTGAAATTCCAACAATTGTAAACTATTTTCTTATTTTTTCAAATGTCAGGTATCCATAACAAGTTCTGGACCATACTGCAAATAGAGGTTTTGCTTTATTAACTTAAGGAATGTGTCTCAGACAGGTATGAGTCCAGGCTAGTTTTATAGTCTTCTCTCATAGGACTGTACTGTATGAAAAAACAAAAGGAATATAAATTGAGGGCACATAGCAGTTCTTTAATCAGCTCACAAAGAATTAAATGTGAAGAATTAACAACACTGATATCATAAAAGAAAACACCCAATTCTTTGTAAGTCTTTTAAAGACATCGTGTACTAGGCTACATGCACTATTATCCCCTAACACATACGAAATACTGCGGTGATGCCAAGACCAGGAAGAAATACCACATAAACCCCACATTTAATCCTTCAAAAGAGCCTACGGGGAAGTCAGGAAGAAAACTTCATCACCAAGTCAAGATCTCACTATTTCCAACATGGCAAATATCTATTCTATGGCACATATTACAAAACTGGTCATTGCTTACACAGTATAAATTATATACATTTGCAAAATGCCAGTAAATTATTAGTGTCTCTGCATTCTTATTTGCAAGCTATTAATTAGAAATTAGTTACTGGGCACACAGCACGCAGTAGGCCCCATGTGAGCTACTGAGGATAAGACGAAGTGCAGCCCAGCCGAGCAATGCTCCAGGAGCTAACAATGAATACAGAAGACACAGAGCCAAACACATCCCAAATTCAACATGACAGAAGTAAGGACCAACATAAGAATGCTCTTGGGGAGGTGTGTTAGTGTTAGGGAGAGGCCAAGGTTTTTCAGATGAATAGTTGCCTAACTGGAATTTAAGAATATAAGCAAAAGTGTGTAAGTTCAACAGCCGGAGTCCTGACAAAGGCAACAGCATGGATATACTTGTACAATATATGGTTCATGGTGTGTGTGTTTCAAAGTAGAGAAATAAGACTGGAGAGAGATGTCATGCTCAACAGTTTACTGGAATCCTATAGGTGATGGGGGAAGAGCTCTTAGTAGGATAGAGAGCAATAAACAAATCCTAGTTTTAAAAGACCCACTGGCAGTATGGAGGACTGAACGTAAGAGAGAATTAGGGAGAGAAGACTGTTAGAAGATTATTGCCATAGTTAACAACTATAGGTGGCAAGTAAAGCTGGCATGGTTTCTGATGTGAGACGTGGTGAGCATGGGAGGACATCTTTAAGCAGCTCTATGGCAGCCCAGTGCCTGCTGTCTCTGGTCCCCCATGAGGCCACACTTCCAAAGGCTTTTCCCAGACAATCATTAGTTCATGTCCATACCCGGCTGAAACTTTCTCAGAACGGTACCACAGCCCAACCCTCCCTTCCTCACCTGCTCACAGGCACCACAGGTGTCACCTGTACCAGCACTGAAGGCTGTCCCTGTCTACAACTGCTCCCACCCCTTCATCCTTCACAGTTTCCTAAAAGACCTCACCCTTGCCTTACCGCGACTGGCCTCTGCTTCCCTGAGGATGATGGCACCCAGAGCCGAGCACAGTTGGCATTCTACAACACATTTTAACTAGAAAAAGAAGGCTTTGTAAAATGATTTTTCTTTAATTATCAGAAACTTTGAGGATATCTTTGAAGATATAAAAATGTACAAGGGTACTTCAAAAAGTTTGTGGAAAATGGAATTAAAAGATAATGCAAATCCTTCCATGAACTTTTTGAAGATGCTTCACATTTACTGTGGTGAGCGAAATACTCAATGAAGTTAAAAATCACACCCACTAAATTTAAATACCGATGGGTCTAAAAACCTTAACTTCTCTATTATTGTTATTTTTATTCGTTTAAACTACCCCCTACATTTTTGGGTCTGTTTTCCTTCTTATCTGAGCTGTTATCACAAAAAGTAGCAGAGTGGGATTAAAATTAAGTCTAATTCAAAAGCTCAAACTTTATGAATAACTGCAGTTGTTTACAATAAATATATACCACCAACAAAATACAGCAAAGGTTATATAATAAAATCAGGGAAATCAGTTGCACTGAAACCTTGCAGTACTATAAAACCTTTCATATATAAAAGGACAGTATGCAAAGCACACAGTATGCTGGCGTTTAGGTTTAGTTAGCCACAAACTCATGCTAGCTCGGCACTCGTGACCCAGGCGGCAGCAACACAGCAGTCTCCACTCACATGGCACTCGCTCCACGTGGTTCTGAGTGATCCACGGGAACAACCAATGTGTCCGCTTTACATTTAAGAAACTGAGGCACAGAAGTGACCTGCCCATGACAGCACAGTTTGTAGATGACAGAGTTGGGATTAAAACTCAGGTAATCTGATTCCACAGCTTGTGTTGTTCTGAACTAGTCTGCTGTGCCAGTACCAACACAAAGCATACAATTTAGTTGTAAAAGGCTTAATCAACCTGCCAGGCTCATAAAATATCAATAAGGGAGAAGCACTAAAAGATCCCTTGTTATTGGCCCAGGCAGAAAATGTAATCATGATACCAGGTAGGCAGAGCAGGTGCTTACGGGCAGGGCCACAACACATCCAGGAGGGCTTTGTGTCTGAACACTTCTGATCCTACGTCACCAAGAAATGCTTCTCCAGTTCACCAGAACACAGATGTCTCCAGAAGACACAGAGGTGCACTACCACACAAGTGGACTGGCATGTAAGACAGACAGTGAATAAAATGTTCACTTTAACCTGGGCAACAGCTCAGACTCAGGCACAGTAAATGATATTTACCTCTCTGGCACAGAGGGTCTAAAAATTCTTGTAAACCATTTGGAATGTTTCTGACAACATCACAAGAATAGCCATCTTCTGGCAAAAGAAAAGGCAGCTGCAGGTCAGGATCCTCCTCCAACTGTACTTCCCTCCCGTCACTGCGGGCTAGCTCATCAGCGGTGTTTTCAGCAACAGCCACTACATTTTCTATAAGATCCTGTTTGGAAAACAAAACCAAAATTAAAAAGAGATGCTCAGTGACTAGTGCATGTGACTAACAACTACTCAAAACCCGTTGATTGCTGTAGCACAGCTTATCACACAGAAACACAGATACAGGGTTCTGGAGGGATAACAAATTGATCCATACACTCAAAATCAGTCTTGTAGAGAGGTTTTCAAGATGGCGACGGGTCTGAAGCGGGCGAGCCAGAGGACAGAGCGAGCCTGAGAACTGTGCGCTGTGCTGCCAGAGTACTATTTGCATTTCCAAGAGCAACAAAAAACAAATAAATCACTGATCAACTAATCTACAACGAAAAAAAGCAACTACAGTCTCGAGGTTTTAGGGCCGATGCAAAAGAAGATTCCTGAGAGCGCTGCAACCGCGCTGGGAGACCGAGCAGCCCAAGGCAACAAAGGCCAGGAAAGACGGCAGCAGCAATGCAGAGACAGAGAGGAAGGCACAGGACCGGCCCAGCTCTGGGAGCTTTGTGAGTGCCGCCCAGCCCAGCCCCGCTTGGGGGGCAAAGGCCTGCCCGGCCCGTGCTTACCACAACAGGCTAGGCCCCTTCAGCAGCCCTGCCTCCATTTTCTCCGGGGGGTGGGGGCAGAGCCGGCCGGCTCAGATCGGGCAAGCCAGCCATCTTCGCTTGGC